ATCCTATGTCAATTTGAATCTGAACAAAGAGTGTGGATGCAGAATTTTTTTTTTTAGTGAATTAGCTTTAGTTCTCGCCAAGTTTTTCTTTTGTGCCTGAATAGAAAGCAAAGAGACTTTGCGTACGATTTTGTCGTCAAAAAAGCTGAAGATAAATAATTGGGTGGTCCCAGCTGTTCAGTGTCAAATTATTTCGCAGATGCTGGTTTTGAAGATAATTTTTCAAAAAAGCATTTCCTATTCTTATTGTATAGCGCCACGCAAAAAACTTTTATTCTGGCTGCTTCTTTTGATATCAGTGCGACATGATCTTAACGAAAACTGAAAAAAAGGCTGTATTCCTAAACTTGAATGTTTAGGAAATGTAAAGCTGCAAAGCGCCGCGTCAAAGCACTATTCCTATTCCCTGTCAATGCACCATCCATCAAACATAAATTGAACTATTTTATCAACAGTTAGGCTGATAGAGACTCTTGAGGAAATATACTGCACCTTTAAACATAAAGGCCAAAGTTGACTACAGATTATTGAAGTCAAATTAAAGAAACAACGATAGGAAACTATATCAATTAATTCATGGAAGAGAGCTTTTCGTTTGTGCTCTATTAAACAAGTATTTACTCGGGCACTGTCTTTAGGGGCGTTAAACTACCGCGTTTTATCGAAAGACTAAATCAGCAAATCGATGTCGGATTTCCATTAATAAAAATCAATATGGCGCAAAGAAAATTTATACAAATTTATAGTTTTGGTTCTGGCGTGGACTTTACTCCAGTTGTTGCTTCGCTTCAAGCATATATTCTTCTGAAAATAAAGTTAATTCATCGTCCGCTATTTCAGCATGACAGCGCGCATTGCAGAACCGTCTCATTATTTCATTGTCATGGACCTGTCAAAAATATGTGGGATCATTTGCATGCAATTAAACTTCGATAGGAGGGCTGTGAGGTAAAAATAAAAATGACCTGAAGGCGACGGTTCCATAACGGAATTTTGACATTAAAGTGATCCGAAATGTGGCGTGTGCTTTCCCATGATTATGCAGGCTATGAAAACACACTGTTGGGAAACAAAGTTATGAGGAATTTGTCTCCATTTTCTGCGCATTGTTACGGTCAACCATCATAGAATTCTAAATAACAAGCCTTACGTTGCAAGACGCCGTTGACTTAAAGTTAAATTATCATTTTTTTATTAAACTTAATTGCGTTTTATTTGCACAGTGCATAATTTTTTGTCGAACTAATAGAGCCCACGGAAGGTCTGTCATTGATTCACAGCTGCTCATGATCAAGAACAAACCGACAAATTCACAAAGAAGTACAATGACATACGTAGAACATAATTTCGCAATTTCCCCAGACTTCCTTCACTTTCATACATTTTCCTACATTAAAATTGTTCATTCTATCGAAGGCAACTTTCTCTTTTGTTCGTCACGCTGTTCGTGAGACCACGTGGCTAATTACTCACTAAAATGAGTTTTAAAATATGGAGCACCTGCCTTAAGACTCGCGAGAAAGTACAAAATCTCTTTTTTGGAGTAAATCTTGAATTTCGGCACGTAAAGAGAGTTTCCTTCTTGTTTGTTAGTTTTTTTTTTATACTCAAGTTTATGAATTAAAATCAACGAGGAGATCTAAAGCAAAATGGGATAAATGGTTTTCATAAGTTTGACATCTTGACTGAGCTCTAAGTGGTTTTTTTTTTGCTCTTTAAGGCGGAAGACGTAAGCCCGTGTTTATGTGCTTTGGAAATTAATATGAGGCATGTTGGATTTTAGATCCATTTGAGAAGTCCCACATGCAAACATTTATGTCTGATATTCCTGTCCGGCTGTCAAGAAGAGATGCAACCGAGACCCGCATTAATATTCATAGGAAATAATTTTGAAATGGTTAAAAACAGAAGTGATCAGGAATAACCTCTTTAGTTCATCAAGGTTCCTCAGTCTCGGGCCACTGAATTCTCAAACCGTTGGACAGGGGAAGCAACCTTATCGATCTCCAAAGGTATACCGTGTTTCTTATTTTAGATCAACCTGAAAAAACGCTTGGATCAGTGCGGTTGAAATGTAAATTTTTCCTTTTTTTCAATCTTCCTTTAGTACTAAGAGGCTACAAGTCTATTTGCTGACAGCGGACTTCAGTGCATTCTATCGCAGGTACGTTGAATTGCCATGAGACGTTCAACGCTTCTTAACTCATAATAACTTGGAGGGAAACAAGTTGACTTTGTAAGGCGAATATATAGGCAGATTGATTTCCTGTTTGCAAACTAATACTAATAACGTTACAGTCCATCAAAAATAGTTATATACATGCGCCAACAGTGTCTTCAATAAGATGTCATACATTATCTTTGGTGTTATTTTTTATTCTACCGGATATTGAACTGAGAATAAAAGGTTACTTATAACGAATATCATGTTATTTTTATCGTTAGTTTCTGATAATTTTCGTTATTGGTATTATGCGACATTATGCGACCAAATGTAGGAACCGTCCAGAAAATTTGAAAATACTAATAAGAAAAACTATTTCTGAAAGTTATCTTTATCTATCGGGACGGAAAACGACAAATGAGAAGATGAGAAATAAGAAACGCTTTCGTCATAAAGGCAAACCAACAACAAAGACCAGTATTTATATATTTTAAGGATGGGAATACTTAATGCTTCTATGCAGAAATGCTTAACCATCATTTCAATACTAAGATTTTTTCACTGGGGTTATTTACCGAGAAAATTAAAATGCCCTGCTGCATTCCTTTTCCTGTTTCCAGTATTTCCGTTCCTGTTCACAGCTTCAGTGACGTCCTGAAATATCATCGACTCAACCAAAGTGAACTTAGTTTAAAATAAAAAAGAAATTAAAAAAAAAATTTGTTTCCTTTGAATTCACAATCGATTCCTCTCACCACACCCCAGGTTGGTATCGAATAAGATTTTAGGGGGGCCATGGTTGTTCCCTTTACTGATTATTTATTCAGTAATAACAGTTTTATCCTATTCAAATTTAGCAACAGAAAAAACAGGAACTAAAGATGAAACCAGATACTGAGTGGATTGTTATGACAGTCATCTACGCCATCACGATGCTCGTAGCGTTTGCAGGGAATAGTTTCCTCATCTACATCGTGTGGAAGAAGCCTGAAGTCAGATCACTGACAAGCTTTATGTTCGTCAACATGGCCATCGCTGATTTGCTTGTAACCTTGGTAGTGATGCCCTGGTCGATTTCCACAATATATACAGATGGTTTGTGGATGATCCCGGGAGTATTTGGAAAAGTCATGTGCAAAGGTGTTGTATACATTGCCTATGTCACTTTAACAGCATCCATCCTCTGCCTGACGTTCATGGCGATCGACAGGTACTATGCCATCGTTCATCCCCTCCGCCGCCATCTTTGGTTTCGAAAGCCTAAACTAACCGTTCCATTTATTTGGATCGGGTCACTGGTCTCCATGTCCATTTTCCTTGTTATTCAAACCGTGGAGGACTACAATAATTCTTCCTATTGCATGCTATCTGTTTACATCTTGGGTGATCCAGATAGGGCTCTTCGAGGAATATACCTCTTCCTTTTCGTCGTCAACTATCTCATCCCCTTGGTCGTTATTTCTTTCCTGTATACCATCACTGCATGGAATTTATGGTTCCATGTTACACCTGGAGTGAATACTTTGAGAGGAAATCGAGCGCAACTAGAAACCTCTAAAAGAAGAGTGGTTCGGATGCTCATTATTGTTACCTGTGCCTTTGCCCTTTGTTGGCTTCCACCACAAGTGGTCCACATGATGCAAATTATTCACGCATCTAAGGCTTACCTACATATACAGCCGATTGTCAGCTTTGTGTGTTTTTGGTTTGGACACGCTAACAGTGCCGTTAACCCATGGCTGTACATTTTTCTGAGCACCAAGATAAATACGGCATTTACCAGGATCGTCAGTAGAAAAAGCAGCCGGTTGCCTTCAAGTCTCACCATCAAAACATCAGATGCCGTCTTACCACCTGAAGATGAAGCAATCCAGAAAGAATCAAGAATATAATGTCTCTCATAACATGAAACTTTTATTACTAATTTGGTAACTGTAAGATAAAAACTCGCTTAAAACGGATTTGCGTATTTCTAATTATATAATATAATACAAACACCTATATACGGTTTCATAAAAGCTATTGTAGTAATCCGAGTAATTTCATGAGAAATTGACAATTGCAACTAAATTTCGACAAGAACCGTTCCGTGTATATGCATACCGTTTTCGCGATAATAATTTAATTTTAACTATTTCAGGTTAAAATTACCTGTTTTGAAAGGAGATTTGTAAAAGCCTTCGGTTATGACATACACAATTAAAGCAAAAGAAATGCTTATGGACCAAGAATCGTCTCATTCCGTTTAGAATGGAGCGCGCTAACCACTTGGCCACCCGATCTCCCTCAAGGTTGTAATATTTGTTCTTTCTTTTTTCTCTGAATTTGTTCTGAAATAATACAATCTTGAACAAAAAAAAACAAACAAACAAAAAAAAAATAACTGAAAAGGAAAAGAGAAAATGAACCTAATATTCAGGGCCTTAGACATTTCAGAAGAGTATAGAGAAATAGAGTTCAATTTTCAGAACTATCCAGCAAATTTTGTTGTTGTTGTCGTTGTCAAACGAGGTATTTCACCGTCATTACAGGCGATCTAGCTAATAAGCGAACCAGCTAATTAGCGCGCGCGAAAAGCGCAATTCACGTGTCCGCTATCTACTAATTTTGGTTGTTTTTATTCATAATTTTCTCATTGATACTAACCAATGTAATATATTGCTAGTGATATAAACCCACGAGGTCAAACAACATGGCCGCTTCAACACAACTTTATTCCAGCAATGCATTCTGGGTACATACACAGTAACCCTAGAGGGTACTTAATATATTACACTGCTTTCCCCTTACAAATAAGATATCCTTACAAGTAACACAATAGTAGCTATAACATTCACTACAGGATCAGTCGGTCAACAGGTTTCCTAATTCTCTCTGATCGCCTCAGAACAACCGGCGATGGTGTGTTTACATTCTCTTCACTAATACTAGAATTAGGCTCATTATCTTTATCTGAAAAATTGACTGGTGGCTGCGGCACCCCGGATGAAACTTGGCTATTATCTAAACTTAGGTTGCTCACACAGTTCTGAGACAGGTATGTCCAACTCTCTAGTTTCATGTGGCACCTGATCATGTGCTTAAATTAAATGATCAACATGAACATATCTGGTCTTATAGCCAGTCTTAACTAAATATGTTCTGGGTCCACAGACCTTAACTACCCTTCCCAGAATCCACCTCTCAGTATTGCTACGGGCTTGAGTATTTCTCACTCGAGCTATGTCATTCTCTGCAAACAGCCTCCCTTTCTGACCCTTTAAATCCTTATATTCCTTCTGCTTATTTTGTTTACTCTCTACGGTTTTGGCTAGATCAGGTTTCACTAGAGTTAAACGAGTATGCAGTCTACGTCTCATCAACAGTTCTACTGGCGTAGCACCTGTGGTGCTGTGTGGGGTAGTACGGTATCTCAAGAGGAAGTCTGCTAGTCTATGTTTGATAGACCTTCCCTTGTTTCCCTCTAGAACTTGTTTGACAAGCGCCTCCTTTACCACCCTGACTGATCTCTCAGCAGCACCATTTGATTGTGGGTGATAAGGAGGAGTTAGGGTATGTTTAATGCCATTTTTATACATAAACTCAGCAAGCTCACTTGAAACAAATTGTGGCCCATTATCTGATATCAACTCCTCGGGCAAACCATGTTGGGCAAATATAAGACGCAACTCATTTATGGTTTTCTCTGTGGTGATTGAGGTCATGTGCTTAACCTCTATCCATTTTGAAAAACTATCAACCACCACAAAAAAATATCACTCCCTTTCTGACAAAAATCAACATGAATACGCTGAAAGGGTCGCGTGGCCCATTTCCAGGGTATCAATGGGGCACAAGGTGGAGAGGTCCGCACATCCTGACACACTGAGCATAGTTTAATCTTTTGTTCGATTTCCTCATCCATCTTGGGCCACCAAACACAGGTGCGTGCTATTGCTTTCATTGCACAGATGCCTGGGTGCTCCCAATGCAACTCCTCCAACATCTTTTCCCTAAATACTGGGGGAATGATCACCCTGGAACCCCAGAGAATGCAATTTTGTTCGCAAGAAAGTTCATGTCGACGGGTGTAATAGGGTTTTAAATCTTCATCACAAACCTCTGGCCACCCCACCATGACCCAATCAAGTACCTTGCTTAACCCTGGATCCATCAATGTAGCTTTCCCAATCTCTTTTGCAGTTATGGGGAAATATTTGTCAATGGTATTACATTGTAAATCTCACTCTCACTGCCAATCTTAGACTCTTCATGGGGTAATCTAGAAAGGGCGTCACAGTTGCTGTGCTTCTCGGAGCTCCTGTACTCAATGTTATAGTCATATGCTGAAAGGACAAGTGCCCAGCGCTGCATACGGGCAGCTGCAAGTGTGGGTATAGCAGCTTTTGGGCCCAAAATAGCCAATAATGGCTGGTGGTCAGTTACTAAAGTGAACTTTCGTCCATATAGAAACTGATTAAATTTTTTTACCCCGAAAATAATAGTCAAAGCCTCCCGTTCAATTTGAGCATAATTTTTCTCACTTGAGCTGAGGGTAAGTGACGCATATGCTATTGGCCTTTCTTGACCATCTTCCATTACATGACTAAGCACTGCCCCCAAACCATAACTCGATGCGTCACAAGCTAACTTAAGCTCACGATTTAGATCATAGTGGACCAACAGCGACTCACTGGTGAGGCCCTCCTTGCATGCCTCGAAAGCTTTCTGGCAGTCATCTGTCCATTCCCATTGAATATTTTTCTGCAAAAGCCCATGCAGAGGTGCTAAGGTTGTAGCCAGCCCTGGCAAAAAGGAGTGATAATACTGAACCATGCCCAGGAAGGACCTTAATTCACTCACATTCTTTGGGGCTGGGGCTCTTTTCACTGCACTGATCTTCTCCTCCACCGGTTGCAGGCCTTCGGCACTTATTCTCAGACCTAGATAAACCACTTCAGGTTTCAAAAACTCGCATTTTGCCAGTTTTAAATGCAAATTGTATTGGTGTAGCCTGTCCAACACATCAGCAAGTATCTTGAGATTCTCTTGCCAGTCATTGCCCCCTATCAAGATGTCATCTTGTTTACAAACACATTTTTCAATTCCCTGAAGAATTTGATCCATTTTTGCTTGAAAGATTTTTGGGGATGACTTGACCCCATAGGGCAATTTCTGGTAGGAATAAATGCCTTTATGAGTGGTAATTGTCAAGTACTCTTGACTTTCTTTGTCAACATTCAGCTGGGCATGGGCATGTGATAGATCAAGCTTACTAAATACCTTAGAGCCAACCAGAGCAGCATACAAATCCTGAGTAGCAGGTAAAACATATTGCTCATCTTCAACTGACTGATTGATAGTGGATTTGTAGTCTCCACATATTCTGACAGTGTTATCAGCCTTTGGCACTACCACAATTGGGCTAGCCCAAAGTGACCTGTCAACTTTCTTAATAACACCATGCTTTTCTAGTCTGTCTAACTCTTTTTCGACTTGCTCTTTTAAAGCGTATGGAACCCTACGCGCTTTCACGAATACAGGTTTTGCAACGCCTCTCATAGTAATATGGGCCTCAAGGCCCGTCATACCTTTGTAACTCTCAGTAAACAATTCGCTATGTTTAGATAGCAACTCATTCAGTTGACTATCAGCACTCCTAGGGTCTCCCTTGGGAGTACAAAATATCTCACCCCACTCAAACTTAATGTGCCGCAGCCAGTTTTTACCAAGTAAAGTAGGTTTTGCATCATAATTGGCTACAAGAATGGGTAGAGAGTATGGTTTACCCTTATACACTATGTCACACTGCATTTCCCCTGACACATCAAGTAATTCACCCGTGTATGTCTTAAGTGTTACTTTAGAAGGAGACAGAGGCTTGTCTGCAAACCTCTCTAGATATTCACTTCTACTCATTATTGAGAAATCTGCAGCTGTGTCCAACTCCATCATACACAGTTTACCATTGATTTCCATTTCTACAGTGTACCTATTGCAATTAGGCTTGTTTTGGTCAAGCTAATTCAGAGAATAAATTCCTAATTCCTCATCCTCACACTAATCATTGCTTGATTCTGAAGCCTGTACACTATGAATTTTACCCTTTTTCTTTTCATCCTTACTGCGACAAACAGAAGCTAAATGCCCAATCTTGGAGCACTTGTAGCATTTTGTTGACTTAAATTTACAAGACTGACCTGAATGATTACCCCCACACCTAGGACATGACAATTGTTCAGTGTTCTTCTTTTCAGTGTTTTTACTTCCTTGTTCTGTCAACTTGTTTACTTGAACAGTTTCACTGCGTGAAGGGTGAAATTCTTGGGTGTTCCTGTCTGCCATCTCCATGGTCTTGGCAATACTGCAAGCCTTTTCGAATGTGAGGTCATCTGTGTTCAGTAGTTTGTTTTGTATCTTCGGATTGTTCAGTCCGCATACGAATCGGTCACGTAACGCCCGATTGAGGAATTCACCATAATTACAGTGGACCGCCAATCTCTTCAAAGCCAGCACATAATCGCTAACTGATTCTTCGGATTTTTGATTTCGCGTGCCAAAGTGAAAACTTTGTGCGATTTCCAGGGGCTTCGGGTTGTAGTGTTTCTCCAAGACTTCCACAATGTTAGTGAATGACACGTCCTTCGGTTTGGTGGGCGCCAATAAGTTGCTGAGGGTTGTGTATACCTCCGGCCCCACTTCTGTCAGGAAAATGGCACGTTTCCTGTTCGCTACCACAAGGTTGGTGGCAGCGCTTCCCTCTCCTGTTGTCGTTATAATGTTGTTGGCTGTAAAGAATATTTCCATCCTCTCGACGTAGACACTAAACGTTTCACGTGCGACGTTGAACTCGCCAACACGTCCAAATAATCCACTCGCACTAGTGCTGGCCATCTTCTATGCCACAACACACACAGCGTTGTCCAAAGACCTTGCACTTTTGAATGACGTGGAAAAACGACCGATCCTCGTCGCCAAAATGTAATATATTGCTAGTGATATAAACCCACGAGGTCAAACAACATGGCCGCTTCAACACAACTTTATTCCAGCAATGTATTCTGGGTACATACACAGTAACCCTGGAGGGTACTTAATATATTACAACCAATCGTTCCTCGCAGTTTTCTTTAATTCTGTAGCACACGATGATAGTTTCAGCTGAAATCCAAGTGAGAGCTCTGTGTAATGGGGCGTTAATTTTGTTTTTTAGGTTTCAAGTGTCATAGGCAGAAAATGGGGACACTAAGAAAAAATGAGATTTTCAAGGGGAACTCGGCAATCCCTCGACAGAGCACTATAAGAAATATGCACTTTATTTTAAAACGAGCAAGCAGCTGAGAACCTGAAAAAATAATTTGAGGCCTCGTTAAGAATTTGAACATCAGACCTTCTCATGGTGCCTAAAACTACGGAGCTGCGTTACAAGGCAGTGCAGCATACTGATACGTTTCATTGTTGTCTTTCTCCTCTGGTTGTGCAATTACTCGAACTTGAAATTGTCGTGTTGAGTACTTTATTTTCAGTTTTTTAAATTTCACACGTAAAAGTTTTAGCTGATTATTGTATAGTCCTTGTGCGAGTCTTATCAAGTTCAGAAGCCCGCAAGGTCAAACTCGTAATTTTAACATCAACAATAGTTTGTGCTGACTCTATTTATGAGGCTTGTTTCTCGAACAAAGACGTTCGTCGGTGGTCATGTTTGGGTGTGTTTAGTGAACTTGTATAAAAAATACATTTGACCGGGTCAGAATTTTGAACAAGGGGTTAAACTCTGCAAAGACAGTCAACACATTACCTACATGTTCACTAATAAGGTACTTTAGAGCGTGCACTACAGTGAGTAAAAGAGAGATATAATTTGGTTAGCTACAGAAAATGTAATAAAGAAGAAAAGAACTAAGAGTCTTGGTGCCTCCTGTTAGTGTGGGTCTTCTCAGAAGCTAGTTTTCCCTGGCATTGCATCTTTACAGAAGGTTATACAATGGACAACTAACGAAGTTACTCAGACACCCAACAACTAGAATGTTGCTAAAGTCGAAATAAAAGTGAAGAAAGCTTTTAAGCAAAAAGAAGAGATGCAAACATATTTTTACATTGCAATAATGCATGGTTCTAATATTTTTCTTACTTAAGGGAAACACTGAATTACCGAGGAATCCCAAACAAAAAATTGTTTCAGTTGATTCTCTAGCCTTTGTTACCTATTCTGTTCTTTTGACTTTGTGTTTTTGATTTTATTTTTGGTATAACAGGAAACGCAAAGTTACTGTGATAGAGATTCAGCTTAAAAAAAAAAGCGTGCACATACTAATCAAACGATGGTGGAGTGTTTACAAGGTCACCTTCAGCCTCACTTCAAATCAAAGGCTTGGCAACTAAGTACACAACTGTAAAATGGCCTATTCAAAGGGAAATAGATTGTCTAGAAATCCTGAAAGACTGCGAACGTTGTGGAAAAGCATATTAAAGTACCCTAATGATAAAGTAAATAACACAATTATTAGGTCATTCAATTCAGCATCCCGCTGCATGATCCTTCACGATGAAGGTTTAAAGCGAAAAGTGGGTCATCTCGCTCTGATGCCGGATCATCTGCAATACATAATTTACGTAGTTATATTTATGCTATACAGATACGGCACGTCTCGATGAATCAATTTCTCCCTTTAGTAATGTTTGGTTGAGTGGCGTGAAATACACGTGTTTTGCATACATTTTGGTG